GGGGTGCTGCTTTGGGATGGGAACGCTGGGAGTGGGGGGAGGATAAGACTGTCAGCCCCCCAGCCGCATTGCAGGGTGCACCTCCCCAGAGCCTCCAGGCTGGTCGGTTGCTTCTCTCCTGCTTCGTGGGTCAGGCTGGGCTGTTTAAGATTCCCACGGGGGAGGGCATGGCACCCTGTGGTTGGGGAAGGAACCAGTGCTCTGGCCCGGGTTGGGGACGGAGAGGGAAGTGGGTCCTGAGACCTTGTACCTAGAAATAGGTGGGGCACTGCGGTCAGGGCGGGTGGAGCAGCTAGGGTCTGGCTGGGAACCAGGGATGGACATAAGAGTGAGGACAGAGTGGGGAGGACAGGATAGGCTGGGTGAGGACTGGGCGGACACAGAGGGGGATCAGGAGTGTGCACCTGGAAGGCACCGGTATTGGGTACAGAGGTGAGGATGGAACAGGCTAGAAACAGGGTAAAGCCTGAGGAGGAGGTCAGAGGTGGTGGACAGGCACTGGGCGAGGCAGGGATGCCTCGGGGTTGGGGTCAGGGGAATGAGGGGAGGGGAGAGAATGGAAGGGAACCAAAAGGAGTGAGGGGAGGGCAGGGGTGGTGGGTGAGGGATGGGCTTTGGGGATGGGCGGGAATGAGAAAGGGACCTGGACTGTGGGATGGGGCCGGCCCCGCAGGGATGCTGGTGGGTGGAGAGTGGTTACTGGGCAGAAATGGGGGTGCAGAAACACAGGGGATGGGGATGGGAAATGGGAATGAGGACTGGACTGGGAAACCCGGGGTAAGTAGGGAGTGGGTGAAGGGGAAGGAGACCAGAGCTGAGGACAGGTATGGTAGGCAAGTCAGAGGAAAAGGCAGAGGAAGGGCAGGGTTAGGCTCTGGGAGGGGGCTCGGTCGAGGTGCAGTCACCTCCTTCCAGACTCTCGGGCGAGAGGGGGCGGGGACCGCTGTGGGGCGGCTCTGCCCTTGGGCCGGGTACGCCCTCCCCCTCGGCCCCGCCCGCCCGCCTGCCCGCGCGCTCCCGGTCTGCAGCGCAAGCCTCACCGTTATCTGAATTTTGATTTTATTTTATTTTATTTTATTTCCCTGCTTCCTAGAGCCGGCGCGGTCCCCCCGGGAACGGCGCCCCCCGCCCCCCGCCCCGCGCCTCACTTTATTATTGCAATAAATGTGCCTATAAAGGCGCGGGCTCCGGGGCGCGGTGGGGGGGGAGCCGCGGAGCGGGGATGTAATTTCCCGAAGCCGGAGCCGGAGGGGGAGTGGGCGGGGTGGAGATGGAGGAGGGGTAGGCGAGGGAGAGGGGGAGACTCGCCAATTTCCAGCACTCAAGGCAGCGCTCCCTGCTCTCCATCCCCGCCTTGCAGCTCGTTCCCACCCCACGCCCTGAAACTCCCACTATGCCCTCAAACGCTTGAGCCCTGGGGGACCCCTCCCACATGACCCTGCCCATTCTCTGTTATCTGTCCCCCTCCTGGACCCCAACCACTGGGAGTTGCAGGGCTCTGTCCAAAGTTCCCCATCTCCTTGCCCATGACTTTATCTCTGACCCTGCGATGCCCTCTCCACTTACCTGGTCTCTTTCAACACTGTCTCGCCCCTTCCCAATGATCCAGTCTCTGACCCTAGTGATCCTTCTTTACCTTGCTTCTGTCCCTCAATTACTTCACATCTCCACTCACCTTGTCCTGGATCTCCACCTCCTCCACTGCTCCAACCCAGAGAGACCTGAGAAGTCTAAATTCTTTCCAGCAGGTACCCCTCCCATACTCAGGCTTCAGCCAAAGGGGGCTGTCACAGTGCCCCCGCCCTTCGATGCCCCTAGCCCAGCTGCAGCCCTGATTACCCCCAAATCCCTACCAACAGCTATGGGCCCTAGCCCAGGCTGCACGTGCCTAAGTGGCTCAGCCAGAGATTAGCTGGGGGGCTAGATTGGGTTATGGAAGCAGGAGGGGTAGGCTAGATGTCTGGCTGGGGCCAGCTGGCTTTGAGACTCGCTTGGGCTTAATCCTTCCCCCAGGAAGGTCCCACAGAACCCCACCCCTGCCCTCCCCCAGCTAATTAGTAATTAGTGATTAGTGATTAGTAACTATTGATCTCCTGCTGCTTCTCACAGTAGGCAGATGCTTTGGCAAGGAGTGGGGAAGACAGAGACTGAGAGGGAGAGGAGTCAGAGACCAGACCATATTAGAAAGATCCTGAGAAGGCCTGGCTCAGAGAGCAGGGCCTCAGGGTCAACGGAAGCCAGGAGTCCCAGGTCCTGGGAGGAGACCAGGATTCTGGTGCAAAGAGGAAGGAGAAAGAGCTCCTGGAGGAAGGACAAGTGAACTGGGTGGGAGAAGGCAGGGTTGTTAATGCGGACAGTTACGGTTTCCCAAAGAGCTATCCTGTAAACTGTTCCCCACCAGCCTCTTACCCACTGTCAACCCACTGACAACCCTGGCATTGAGACAGCCCTGACCACACACACACACACACACAAGCCACACTCAGATACATGAACACATCCTAAGGCTTACAGCCCAATACCCACACTCAAATGCACTCAAAACATGCAGATTCACACTCACAAACCCTGGAGACTCACACAGACAACACATAGGCTGCAGCACACAGGTGCACTGGAGATCTACCTTGGGGTGCACACGTGTGTACAAGTCATACTCACAAGTGCACACAAGTACACACAGATAGGTACTGGGACACACAACACTTTTCTACACACATTCCCCATGCACAGTTATAAATATTCTCACACCCACAGTCTGTACACACAGGTAAACCCCTTCTCACACACACACACGCTGGACTAAATGGCAGATATATACTTCCCCACTGACTCCAACACAGAGACCCACAGCTGCAGCTCTCACACACACTCAGCCAGATCCCCATTGCTCACATCCTCATGCTTACTCTCCCTCAAGTCTCCACCAGATGTTTCATTCCCCTTCAGGGGGCAAAGGAAATTAAACCAGATCTGTCCACAGGGGAGTTTATGTGATGGGGAGAGTGGAGAGAGTGGGAGGAAGTAGAAAGGAGGGGTGGGGGGGAGTACCATCCCTCCTTCCTCTCCCCCAGGCCTTGCAAACAGTGGGTTGTGGGGCACAGACTCCCCCCC